AAAGTATCACTAACTACTTAAACTATCTTAAACTTCAAAGGGCCTTGCACCGTACACACTAAACTATACAGCGAAATATTACACTGTCCTCCTTGTTACAAAAATTCCCAAACTTTAAAAGAAAAAGAATTAAACTATGATGGGAAAATGGATAATTCCATTGCAAAGAAACAAATATACCAATTGTTTCTCTACTGGACTCTCAAAACTACAAAAGCCAATCCATTTAGACCTGTAAACAGAATAATTTTTTTTGTTTTAAACACATACTTTTACTTACAGACATGTACCCATAATCCCATGGGTCAAGCAAGGGTTTATGCCCATCAGAATCAACAAGGCAAGGCCTCTGCCCTCTGGGAGCTCCCCTGCAGGGCTCCCAGGCTGTGTTTCCAACCAACGTTTAGCAGATATCAAAGTAAGTCTTGTATGTTTACCTACTCACCTCGCCTCACACACTACAAAGTGATTGAGACTCACTTACTCTTCCTTGTAGTTCTCCCACAACTAGCACAAAGACTTGCACCTAAAAAGAAGTACTCAAACGTTCTGACAGTAACTAAAATTGCACTCTAAGTGTATACACAGGTCTCTACAGGATTACACGAATAACAGACTGACGTTATTGAAGCACGGAGAGAAACACAGGACATTTATTAGGCTGTTACTAAAGCTTACTTGGGAAGGGAAAGATAAGATGATGGGATGTGTGGAAGGCAGCATTATAAATCTATTTTGTGTGATATAATTCTATTTGTATAAAATTTTGCAGAAGTTTGCATACAGTAATGCAAAAATATTTTGGTGATCCTCCTTTTGTGCTTCACAGGGTGGTGAGATTTTAGGTGAACTTTATTTTCTTCCTTATATTTTTATGTATGATTTGAATTCTTTACCATAGTATATATTAAATAACCAGAGAAAGTTATTTTCATTTGCAGGGGAATGTACCCTGACAGTTGTTTTTTTTTAATAATCCCTAAATGCCTGGCTTATCACACAAGTTTTAATAAATTATGTGGTTACTGTGATGGTTACTGGTAGCCATAACAATTAATTACACAGAAATATTACTTCTAGTGCTCAAAGCCATTACAAATTACTTCATCTCCCTGAGTCTTGGCTTTCCCATATGTAAATTAAGACTATTACCATCTACACTTTGTACTGTGGTCATGAAATTAAATGAGATAGTGCAGGTAGAGCATCTAGCATAGTATCCTGAAAAACTTGAAACTCAAAGACTGTTTTCTATCCCATCCCATCTGTCCTAATTAAAACTCCCCAAAATGAATGAGTTTTAGCATTAACACAATAGCAATTATGCTGTAAAATGAACCTATATTCCTACTTTGATTCGTGAAAATTACTTATTCACTTTCAAAGTTTAAACTAAAATGTTAAGTTTAAGACACTTTTAAATTAAACTAATAAATATACATATATGTAATGCCCAGACATATAATTACCAAAGAAAGCAGCCACCATCTCCCAGCTAGCGTTATCAGAAAGCCTATACATTCTAGCTTGGAGTCAAAAAATCTTGATGTCACTCCATGTTGGATAACTCAGAGGTATAATTATTCATCAATGTATTATTTCCTTTAGGGTTGGTGAGTATTAAAAACAGCTTTAGGTTTTTGTGAACTAAAATGGCCTTTATGAACTACTAGAAACTAGAACGGTTTGGGGAATTTTTTTTTCTTTTTTTTCACACAATTTATCAACTCTCTTAAAGATTAGAACACAGACAGGTAAAAAGGGGGGGTAGGAAATCACATATAATCCCACCATGAAACACTACCTGCTCACAACACTGTAAATCAACCACACTTCAAGAAAAATAAATAAGATTTTAAAAAGACAATATCCGCTGTTAACCATCTGGTGTATATCCTTTCAATTTAAAAAAAAAATCTCATATAAATCCATATCCAATGTACACTTAAACCACCTTTAAATGTACATTTGACAAATCTCATATATCAATACACTTCAAATAAAGTTCTGCCCATATTAGAAAGTCAATATTTTTAGCTAAAATGAAAACTAGACAAAAATAAATGCCTTTTAACAGTTCATGCCTTAAGGAAAAACTCCATTATTCTCAAGAGTAGCATTCAGAGCAGAACAAAAGTTATTACTTATTCTGCAATATAAAAAGTGATAAACAGCAAGTTAGATGAAAATCCATTTACTAGGATTTGGGAATAATTTTTAAGTTTATCACTATACTTATCAAACATTTTTTATAATGTTTGATCCCATCAAAACTTTCCACCACTTTCTATATAATTGTTATATAATATACCATTCTCTTTTTTAAATGAATTAGCAGTTCCAATATAAAAATACACTTATAACCAAGTGGGGCTTTTAATTAAAAAGAGCAAATAAAATGTACTAGTTGGAAAAAATTTAGTATTCAACCAGAATGATTAATTTCTCTCTGGTCTACAAAAGTCTCACTTCAAGATAAACATATACACAAATTGAATGGGAAAGATAGGCACTTGCCTAGCACTGAATATTAGCAGAAATCTGTACAGATTTTGATGTAAAGGAATATTGGTTAATTTAATAGAAAGTATCTTTAACTAAGTAATTTGAGAAAAAACAGAAGTTGTATTGTCCCTCTTAAAATGCCCCAGCATTATAATGTAATTCACTTATGTCTTTCAGGTACAAAAGGACAGACATTATAGAAGTTAGAGGACTACACCACGTTCTTTCTGGTAAACACTGGATAGCATCAATTCACAGTTGAATCCTCAGAACACCTCAAAGATACTGTGGAGTTAGAACATATGACTTACATACCAGATATGCAATATAGCACAGCTGTTATCTTTCTGGAAAATATTAGGACCCTGATCTTCTTTCAAAAATAAAGACATACCTCATTTCCACAGTGGCAGTCTGCAGAAGAAACTGCAGAAAAGCTTAACTTTGCTCTCAATATACTTTGAACTGCCTCAGCACTTTAAGAAAAAAATTCAAATAAGACCCCCAAAGTAGTTCTCCATGTTACATGGGAGAGAAAATTTTGGTGAGAAAAAAATTAGAAGCTTTGTTTTACTTTTGCCAGAACTAAGAGACGTTGGTTCACTAAATGCATATAAGGAGCAATGTCGCACCATTAAAAAAAAAATTCAAATATAAGCCCCAAAAAGTACTAGGTTATAGTATCTAACACTGGCATTTCCTTTACCAAAGACCACAATTACATTAAATCTAGCAGTTGTATCTAGCAGGCTTTGAACAAGGATAGACAGTGGGGGGGCACGGGTCTTTTTCAAAACCATTTGTTTTGCAAATTATATCTTATAACAGAATTAAGAGCTGATAATAAATCAAAAATGCTTTGAAAGTCTTACACTGTTTTAAATCATTTTCTTAGTATGATTAAACAATGCAAAACAATGATTAAAGTGGAATTATTCAACCTAAAACTCCTACTGCTCTTATCTGATTCTGGAGAAAATTCTACAATGTTTTTTTTAAAAAGACCATTTTAAAGAACTATTTAGCAAGTTAAGGGGTCCATAATTCTAAGATTACAGGGCTCTTCCATTATTTGTTTGGGTGTTTTTTTCTTTCTGCCTTTCCCTCGTGTTTTGTTTTGAAAAAGAGGTAATACACCTTGAGTCTCTAATGAGAGACCACTATCTGAACAGTCAATAAAGGATAACATTTTGACAAGGACAGGAACTAAACAAGTCTGACAAGCAGGAAATTTCCCAGGGCCCTTTTATTTTTTTTTTTTTTTCATTTTATTTTTTTTTTAATTTTTTCATTTATTTTTATTAGTTGGAGGCTAATTACTTTACATCATTGCAGTCGTTTTTGTCATACATTGAAATGAATTAGCCATGGATTTACATGTATTCCCCATCCCTGTCCCCCCTCCCACCTCCCTCTCCACCCGATCCCTCTGGGTCTTCCCAGTGCACCAGGCCCGAGCACTTGTCTCATGCACCCAACCTGGGCTGGTGATCTGTTTCACCCTAGATAATATACGTGTTTCGATGCTGTTCTCTTGAAACATCCCACCCTCGCCTTCTACCAGAGTCCACAAGTCTGTTCTATACATCGGAGTCTCTTTTTCTGTTTTGCATATAGGGTTATCGTTACCATCTTTCTAAATTCCATATATATGTGTTAGTATACTGTAATGGTCTTTATCTTTCTGGCTTACTTCGCTCTGTATAATGGGCTCCAGTTTCATCCATCTCATTAGAACTGATTCAAATGAATTCTTTTTAATGGCTGAGTAATATTCCATGGTGTATATGTACCACAGCTTCCTCATCCATTCGTCTGCTGATGGGCATCTAGGTTGCTTTCATGTCCTGGCTATTATAAACAGTGCTGCGATGAACACTGGGGTGCACGTGTCTCTTTCAGATCTGGTTTCCTCGGTGTGTATGCCCAGAAGTGGGATTGCTGGGTCATATGGCAGTTCTATTTCCAGCTTTTTAAGAAATCTCCACACTGTTTTCCATAGTGGCTGTACTACTTTGCATTCCCACCAACAGTGTAAGAGGGTTCCCTTTTCTCCACACCCTCTCCAGCATTTATTGCTTGTAGACTTTTGGATAGCAGCCATCCTGACTGGTGTGTAATGGTACCTCATTGTGGTTTTGATTTGCATTTCTCTGATAATGAGTGATGTTGAGCATCTTTTCATGTGTTTGTTAGCCATCTGTATGTCTTCCTTGGAGAAATGTCTGTTCAGTTCTTTGGCCCATTTTTTGATTGGGTCATTTATTTTTCTGGAGTTGAGCCCCAGGGCCCTTTTAAATTTAGGCTATTAGTCAGATGTTATAAAATGGATGGAATTAGAGAATCTCAACCTGAGAGAACATAAACAAAATACAGATGCAAAGCTGAAAAAAATAAATGTGTTCCCTCACTAACAGAAAAGTTTGCTGCCATATGTGCCAAACAGAAGCCCCAAAGGAGGGGATAACGTCCAAATTTAAGCATTCATTACTCACCTGTTCATTCAACCTTCCATTTGACAGATATTAAAATCCAGATTTTTTGAAAGAGTTGTGACCTTAAAAAGAAACAACACTGAACTTTTATAGGTGTAGAAAAGATTCTCAACTATATCTTTACCAAAGTAATCTTTCCTGATGACCAGGGTTTTGGTAATAAATATAATGATAACACTCATAATACAGAGTTGCTGGGCTCCCTCACTTTCTGTGATCTGGCCTCTACGTTCCCTCTTCTAAAACTGCTTTCCAAGGCCCCAGTTACCTCCCAGACATCAAACCCGATTTCAGCATTGAGTCGTACTTTTCCTTGACACTTTAGGAGCCCCCTGAGATAGATCCATCAACCCTCATCCCAGACACCTCTCCTCTGAGTCCCACGTGTTATTTATTCCCTGGTTGTCCTACATCTATTATCCCTCTGTGTCTACTTCCTCCTGCTGTCCTAGCTCTTGATCTTCTCTAGTCACTCAGTCTCTTTCTCTACATTCTAGAAACTTTTAGAATCTAGAATCTCATTCTATTTCATGGTTCATGCAAATTTCTATGTGGATAACTCCTATATCAAAACCTCTGGTCCCAACCTCTCTCCAAAATGTCTACTCTAGCCAAGTGAACATCACTCTGAATGCCTCACAACATCAAATACGACATACTTCTAAAAAATCAAATTCAGGGGATACATGGAGGTCCAGTGGTTAGGACTCTCAGCTTCCACTGCAGAGGGCCCAGGTTCCAGCCCTGGTTGGGCAACTAATATCTGGCAAGCCGCATGGCATGGCCAAAAAAAAGCAACAAACAAACAAAACCAAACTCTTTTGCCCTCCAAAATGAGCTTCTCTCCCTCTGCTGCCTATTCTAGACATTACAAACTACCAATCTTTCTGAATTAGAAGTCATCTTTGAGTACCCTACTCCTCTGTCCAATATCTTATCAGTTACCAAGTTCTGTTGATTCTTGAAGCTCAGAAATAAAGTGGTGAAAGAAAAATGATTCAAATCTAGGTGTGTCAGACACCAAAACAAAAGACAGAGCTCCAAACACTGTTCATGCTTTACAAGGGAGAAGTAAGGAGACAGACACCCTGCACAGAATGCATCCTTGAAGACAGAAGAAAATTAAGATTATGGTCCCTGGGGTCTACTGATGGTGGTGCTGGCAGTGGTAATAATAAATACTAAGAGCTGTCACTTACTGAGCTCCTGCTAAATGTGTGGTATCCTACTAGAACCCTACTCTGGTTCACTTTTGTATTCTCTAATATCTATCCACCAGGTCTATCACAAAGTAGGGCCCCCAAAATGTTTGCTAAATTAGTAAATCTGTTGTGCTACAGTATACTTATATCTAAACCATACAGTTCTAGAATATTGTAGTTTTTTTAAAAAAATTTTTGGTGAGATTTTCTTTTGGCTGTCATTGTTCTCCATTCTCTCCTGCAATGTCTACTCTGTAGCTCAGTCTAAATCAATGGGCCAAGGATAAAATTCTGTGGGATCTCAGACAGTCCCCCACTCCCATAACTTCCTCCTTTCCAACATCTGACAGACCTTCATTTTTTTTACTCTGAATTTCATTTCTAAAATGTTTGAAGTCTCAACAAGACAGGCCCCAATACAAATGTTGTTATTATAAGTATTTTTCCAAGGAGAAGAACTATGTGTACTATGCTGTACCAGAATTCAGTTTATAAATTTCAACTACATAACAGCTGAACTAAAACATGTGCTTTAAACCAATATTCACAAAAAAGAGAAAAGACACAGAACCTACACACAAAATAATTTAGTGGCAAAAATATTTCATTATATCCCCTTGAGTATAATCAAAAGTATAAGAAGTTTCAAGGCTAAAAGCCTTGAACATATGGTTGCTGGTGGTTTTAAAGAAAAGGTTGAAATAGCTGGTCAAAGTTATACACATATAAGTCACCACAGACTATTAATGAAATAGCACAGGTAGAACGCTTTTCAGTCTACCTTCTTATAAAAATATTGTTTTCAAACTTGAAACACAAATGCAAAAGTTTTTTATTGCTCAGTCAATATGCAAGATAACAGGGAGTCTAAATTAACTGCATAAAAGAACACCTTTAAGTTTCTCATTTTGACATGAAAAGTTTATTATTTTGATTTCAAGAAGTACTGCACATTTACACCTAAATGCAAAAGCACTTATTGACTTAACCGAAATATATTATAGCTATATATTTTCCATTGACAAAGAGAAGCTGGCTCTTTTAACTAAAAATTTGCTCCTGGTAAGATGATTACCTTGATACAGTTTCAAAAAGTATATACAGTTGGTCCTCGGTATCCACAGATGCAGAACCCATGGATACAGAGGACTGACTGTGCTAATCCATTTTATAACGTACTTGAGCACCTGTAGGTTTTGATATCTGAGGGGGTCCTGATAACAACACTCCATGGATACAGAGGGACAACTGTAGGATATCCATTGCACAGCATAACTTGTTGAACTGGACATGATTCATCACTTTAAGATTTCACAAGCACCTACTCGATTTACTCAGTAATCAAATTTCCCGTTTTCTGATATATTTATCAAATTAATCAGAAAAAAACTCAATTCTAAGGCTGCAATTACCTTTAAAAATAAAAATTCCATCTCTGAATTGTGAATAATCAGAATGAATGTTTTTAGCAGTGAAGATGTATCAAATCAAGTTTCCTGGAGGAGCAGTTTTAATTATGTTTTAGTAGAGTCTGACCCCAATGAATTAGAAATTAGTTATTTTTCTGTGTCAAAGCAAACCCAAGAAGAAAACAACTATTTTTAAGAATTTTTAATTTATCTAAAGAATTAAAGTCTCCAAGTTAAATAATTAATCCCCTAGAATTTGAGAACAATATACATATATATGAAATCTATGCATTTAGTTAAAAAGTATGTCATGTCAGAAAACATAAATGAAAGGGCTGCCAAAATCCCAGTTTATAGTCGTAAATTCCTAAGGTTTTAAAGCACAGCCACAGGCTAATTACCCAAAGACCTGCTGCCCACAGACATTTGCAGATGACTGAAGTTAATAGCCGGGCATGTCAATTTACTACAGGCAGCTCTCAGTGCGGACATTTTGACAAAAGAATTGGGTCAGGTTACAGCCTGTTCCTATTATCACGTCTAGATTTATGGTTTCTAACACTGGCCCTACAAGAAATAATGGAAATGATGACAGCAACAATCCCTGCTAGACAACAGATTACAGAAAAGCAAGCAATAAACCATAATCGGAAGTGACCAGAAAACTAAACATCCCTGACCATACTTCAAACACGAAGCAGGTGTCAGTAAACTACCCATTTAAATATTTCTACAATCTCTCAAAATCTCAACACAAAAAAATCTCGAGTCTATAATGTAAAACCAAGCAATATATAAATGTATTTAAATTACTGAGTACTATATTTTAATTTTTAATAATCATCAAAGACAATGTAGTTCATTTGAACAGATTTATGAAACTCTACAAAATTAATAAAAAACAAAGAGAATAATGATCATTACCTTTCAAATATCTTTAAAGTATACTGGAAAATATTCCAAATAATACTTCACATCTTTTGAAAGAAAAAAAAAAAGGCTGTTTCACAGCAAAGGGCACAAGTTTACAACTGTATTCAGGGAGGCAAGAGAACCGAAGAAACATGTGATTCACTCACTGCTTAATTTAAAACTAAAAGAAGTTTGTCAATACATCTGCTTATAAGACTATGTAAAAAAAAAAAAAAAAAAGACTATGTCAAGGCTACAAGGTACCCAAGCAAATGGAGCTGTTTGTCTGGAGTTCAGCACCAATTAACCCTTAGGAGGAATAGAGGTCGAGAAAAATCAAATAAGTATTCTAATCACAAAAAGCAAAGAGAAAAAGAAAAAAGAAAAAAAAAAGCAAAGAGAATTCCATCAACTTTCCCCTGAGAAAATAAAGTGTTCTCAAGATATGCCCTAAAATTGCAATGTATCTGTCCCTTCTGAAGTTTACAATGGCACGTTACCATAAAAGGTGGGCACTCTCTTTCCGCTCTTACAACAATTTGCTCCTATAAACTTAGGAAGAGGCAGAGTCACAGCCATAAACACGGGTCACAAGTAGTAGGTAGTCAAATGCTCTCTACCTTCAAATGTTTCCCAGCTCTTTACTCATACAAAGCGTATTCTTTTTTTAACTCCTTGGTTAAATAAGAAATTCACTAGTCTACGTCAGATGAATATGAAATTAAACTAAAATCATATAAACTAAAATCATATAAACTGCTTATAGGAGTCTCAAATCTTTCACTGTTAACACAATAAGATATTCTCATTTCTTTAAAACCTTTCCATCACATGCCTAAAAAATGAGAACAAGAGAAAAATTTAGGGATATATGTTTAGTAGAAGTCACTTAGCATAAAAATAACTAGTATTATTATTTCTAAGGTAACCAAGGACTTACATTAGACAACATAAAGACAAAATAAGCAAAAATGCCTTCCTCATGAAAACCAAACAGCACATGCATATTTCAAATCTTAAATTTTTTTTTAAATTTTCTGAAGTTAGCCTGCTTTAAGAACCACCACCTCTGGTATCTTAAAAAATGTTATCACTACAGTAAAGGCATTTATACTCTTAAGAATAACTAAAGCCCAAACTAGTTAGAGCCTAGAAAACTTACTTGCCACTAAATAATGCCAAGCTATTTTAATCTAAAATAAACAACAGTGGTTTCTCTCTTTCATTTCCCCAAGACAAAAGGATTATAAAGATTAAGAGCCCAAGCTAAGGAAAGGTAAACTTTTTCTTTCAAACTGACCCACATTTGCCATTTTCAAAACGTCCAGGTTTTTGCTTCCTAAAATCAACAATCACTTCAAATTCTAAGATATGATGGATGTAGTAATTTTCAGACACTAATAATGTTCCTTAAATTCCTAGGGGTATTTGATTTTCTCACTCCAAACTACAAAACACCTGGTAATGCCAGACCAGTAACCATAC